CTATCTATCTATCTATCTCTTTTATGAACTAATCTGTGATATGACATTTTTTTCACTTTTATCACTCGTTATTGATCTCTGGTTATAATCAGAAATTGATGGAATTGATTTCATTGACACGAGGTTCAATCAGTTTAGAAAGGCTTTAATTTATTAATTTATTTGATTCTATTTGTCTTCATAGAACCCGTTCACGTTCAACAATTCAAACCTCAATTATTTTTTAAAATATAGAAATGCAGTGGGATTAACTTTTGCTCTACCGGCATAAAAACAGGCAATATTTCTGTCATGACAATATTTACCTGATTTTGATTATTTATTTTCTTCACATCAGTGATAAATTTTATTATAAATTGTTTACTTGAACTTAAATGTTTACATACCCCAATATCTTTTCACCTTCTTCTTTCTGTCCATGATATCATATCTTGAGTGTTGAACTTCCCTCTTCATATTTTATTGTATAAATAGTTTATTAATTAATATCTGTATGATATTTTAATTTATGACAGGAATACTATGTATTTTTAAGTATTCAAAGTATGTTCATTATTATTATTGTATCCTTTAATTCCTGGAGGAACATAGGGCTTCAGCCGTGCGTCTCCATTGAGCTCGGTTCATTGCTAGAGTCTTCACCTGGCTCCAAGTCTGCCCACACGTTTTCATCTCCTCTTCACATGACCTCCTCCAAGTCACCCTTGCACTGACGACCAACTCGCCACTTCCCTTTCGGGTTCCACTCGAGCAATGACTTGTCTAGTGATGTCACTTGATGGTTTGGTTTCCTCAGAGTATGGCCAGCCAATCCATCTCCATTTCCTCCTGCATATTTGTTTCACAATCGGTTCCTGGTTGGTTCGCTCCCAAAGATCCCTCGCTGTTGCTGATCTTTTCTGACCGGCCATCTGATCTTGAGTATTGAGGGAAGACAACTGTTAATGAAGGAAGTTCTGTAGTTTGTTTAAGGTGCTGTTTATGACGCGCTGGCCAAGTCTCTGATCCGTATAGTAAGTAGCACTGACTGACTTCACATTGGAGTTGAAAATCAAAGTACGTTGTGTATGATTTATATTTTATTTGAATTTTTGATTTTCCGGTAATTGATTGATTAATTTTATTGGAGTGAAATTTACGGCTTCTGTTGGTTGACACATCAGCTTATTTTCAGGATGTCTCAACAATATCTAAGGATTAACTTGAAGTAATTCAGTGGACAGTGAGTGACTAGCAGTGGAATCCTCCAGGACGCAAACTTCGTCCTATTTGGGACAAGTCAGCCACTCAGTGTACCTTCGTTCCACAGTGAGTGATGGCGTTCCAACTGAGGCTTTAGTCCAGTACTTAAATGCCCAAGTGTCGTTATTCATTAGACCAATTGGGCCATGATAGCTACATCTTGTGCATTGGGAAGATCATCACTCACTGGGGAATGTATAAACATCTAACACCTGACTAGTTGCAAATAGGACGAAATGAAGCAAATTGTATTTACTGTGTTTTATTTAGATCAATGTCTAACTCCTTACAGTAAGTACCTTGGACTGACCCATACGAAGACTCTAAGAGATCTTGATTTTGCAGATGATTTGTGATGACATTTTTATTGCCTGTGGAAGCAGATCAAAAGCCGAAGACATGCTGATAAAATTCAACTCATACCATCCAAATCTCAATTTCACAGTAGAACACGAGGAAAATGATCCTATCAAATTCCTAGACGTTTTTCTGGCGAAAATGAATGATGGCACAATCGAAAGATCTATATTTAGAATATCTTCATGGATAGGACAGTACATGCATTTCAAGAGTTTTGTTCCAATCCAGTATAAAAAGAACTTAGTCAGAACACTGTTCAATAGAGCACGAAAAATTTGTTCTGACAGTACTGTTGAGTATGAAATAAAATCCCTGAGGGATATCTTATCTAAGAATGGATATCCTGAGAAGTTCATTAATAAATACTCTAAGAAAACACCCGCTGCAAAACAAACCAAACAGTTCCGAAGAAACCTGTCTATATCAGCTTGCCGTTCAAAGGAAATGATGTACAGGAAGTAGTCAAACGAAGACTCGACGAAGCCATCAAGAGAACTTATTATGCTGCAAAACTTGTTTTCCTTAACAACACCACTAAGCGAGTGCTTCAACAATCTGGGAAAGACCAGTCGCCAATCCTCGACACTTCAAACTGCGTATATCAATTTGATGAGTGTGTTTGTGGAAGCAAATACATAGGTCGTACGGAAAGGAGATTGTCTACTCGCATGATGGAGCATTTGCCAAAATGGTTGAAAACAGCTGAGTGCAAAGTGCCAAAATCCTCAATAACAAAGCATCTTGTGGATTACGGGCATGATATCGACGCGGTCAAGTCATTCACCATTGTCAGCAGACAAAGAAACAAGAAGATGCTTGCAATTGCAGAGGCTTGTGCAATTCGAGTTTACAAACCAGGTCTCTGTGTACAAAAGGAGATGGTCGTGACTCTGAATCTACCATGGTAATACGTTTTACTTATAATTCTACCTCTTATCATTATTATTTTTATTATTACTGTTATTATTCTCATTATTATTATTCTTGATTCATTTAAAACTATCCTTTATCAGTAGCATTATCTTAACTCACTTCAACACTATTATTATTATTGTTATTATTATAACTATTACTATTGACATCCCTCTGGTTGCAATTCTTGTTAAATTCTCTAATGTCTAATTGTTTATCTAAGTGATGTAATTGAAGCGTAATGCAATTTATCTTAATTTTGATCTCCCATACTCTCTCCCCCCTTATCTAATTGAACATGACCTGGAAAAACATTCGCACCTGTCTTTCTGCATGACTAATTCAATGTAGTTTATTTACTTATCAGTCCTATATCTCCCAATGTAATTTCAAAAGGTATATATATCCGTGTATGTAGAGTATTCAGTTGACGAGTTCTACCGAAATTTGATGAATTCATTAAATCCTGCTTTATTAACCTTTATTGCTTGTTTTGATTTGTGTTTGTTTAATGTTTTACAAACTTGAAGACTTGCAGGCAGGCAGGCAGGCAGGCAGGCGAAAACGAACAAACTAGCTGAAGAAGAAGAAGAAGTGGTTTCAACCACTGAGGGAACAGATGAATATGTCAAAATCAGACAGGGTAGGAAAGGCCAGATAAGCCTTCATCAACCTGAAACTAACTTGGAAATCTTCCGCTATCACTCAACAAGCATAAACAACAAGATTAGGATTTACAACAAAAATGTGAAGTTAGTCACTGCTTTTTTTATACAGGCCGGGAACTTGACTTGCATGTCACGAAAAGGATTTCCAACAGGCGCTACTGCAGACTCTTATCAGCAGCTGCCCACTTCGCTGGCTGGCTACATACTGAAGATCAAATGGCCAGTCTATCAGAAAGAACACTAGTAACAAAAAACTCCGTGTGTGTGAACAAACTAATCAACGAAAAACTGACTGCTCAACAAATATGTCGGAGGAAATGGAGATGGACTGATCGGGTATATGTTGAGGAGGCTGTCCAATGACATCGGTGGCACAGTGGTTAGGATTATCGCCGACCATGCACATGGTCCGGAGTTCGACCCCCTGCCGACGCACACCCGATATCTATGGGCGGCCTGCGAAATTTGGACTAGCGATATCCACGCTGAGAATTCCATTCTTGTACTAAAAATACAGTGTGGCATCAAGCTGTAGTCAAAAAAATAATTCGTGCTCAATGCAGGCACATTGCTCAAGTGGAATCCCAATGAGAAGCGACGAGTGGGTAGTTGGTGTGAGGAGGGTGACATGGAGGAGGTCGTGTGGGGAATGGGAGATAAGAGATTGTGGACAATCGTCGTCCAAGCTGAGGAGGATGGCAGAACAAATGACAGAACAAATTGGAGATGTGTTGTTGAAGCCCTATGTTCCACTCGAAAGCCAAAGGAATAATAAAAAAAAACTTATAAGATTTCCTCACAAACCAAATGTGAAACACAGAATCACTGAAAAGGTAGTAGGAGCCCCTGAATGGTTTTCTTGCCCCACACTTTGGGAGATTTAAGCAGAAGCACTTCCAGCGGGCTACCATAGACTTTTGTCAACCATATGGCCGGATAGAGAGAACAAGTAACACCTCAGTAGACAACGTAGAGCAGGCAAAAAAGCAGCCAATGAATATGTAGGAGAGAAAATGTGGATGTTTTGGGCAAACACTGAGAGGATATTCAAGTTATATTATACTGGTCAGGTTGTTGAGTGAAGATTGACTGATACGCGACGAGTTAGGCATTGTGTATGAGCGGGGCATAGATGACATAATGTGGAATAAAGAAATGAAATCCTGTGGGCCTAAAGGAAAGTAATTGCAGAACATCTAGTGAAGTGGTGGTGGGATGCCGCGGGATGCCCCAACCTCCACTTGGGGTACAAGGAGTAGATACTAATTATAACAATACAAACTGGTATTATTATCCTCATATATATATATATATATATATACCGAGAGAAGAGAAAAATGCTTCCAATATAAAAACATTTATTATAAAAGGCAAATATGAAAGCCTGTACAAATGAATTCTGTGAGAGAAGTAAAAAAAATAAGAGAAAAATAATAAAATTAAAAAGGATAGACAGTCTGTGGCACTTACTACTGATAAGATTTAACAGTAGTATAAAAAATTAGACGTTCATTGACATTGAAATGTCGAATAGCAAGGAGAAAGTAAATTAATCAGCGTTGTAGAGAAATATATGAGATGTGAAAGGAACACACGAAGAAACACAATATAGAGGAAGGGCAGAACTGTGCACAAATGGTTCCTTGAAGATGTAGATGTGTAGGTAATTTCTCCACTTAAAACTACAAAGTAAACTGGGTAAGACAGCAGAGTTTAAACAAGTGAAAAACATTAAATTAATAATTCACAAAAAAAATTGATGACAGTAAAACAGAAGAAAACTAAAAAAGAGAGACGGGGAAAAGTGCACAGAAACAATCATGAGGAAAACATTCTGTAAAAGAGGAAAATACCAAAGAGTAAGGCAGACGCAAACGACACAGAAATAATAATGATAATAGGCCGGCTGAACGCAGATGCTTTTCCAACAGCTACCGAAATATTTTCTTTAGGATAATCCGTTCCAGTGAGATAATTCGTCCCTGCGAGAAACAAGCAGTAAAGAAGAGCAAAAAAACAATATCAAAATAAATGCGGAAGATATAAACAAACATATAACCACACAAAAAAGGAGGATTAAAAATCAGGTGTATTCACGCCGAATTCCACTAGAGTTCGCACAATAAATCCACACACCAAAAAAATTCACATGGCAAAAAACAATATACACAGAATAAACAAATAAGGAAAACCCGTAAATATGTGAATGAGCAGAGATTTCAGTACGCCGAGATAAGCAGAAGCAAATGGAAACCTCAAAGCAAGAATGAACGAAATGACATATTACATATAAAACGCAGAATACGCGCAAAAAATTCAAAAATAAAACTACAAAAAATGTAAATAACTAAACCGCGTCAAAAAAATGAAGCAAAAAAAAAAAAAAATTAAAAAGAAAGCAAAAAAACATACGCTCTGTCCGTTCTCCAAACCGTTCCTCTGAATTGGAAACTCTCGAGGAAACTGGGACTAAAGAAGTGAAGCGGAAAGAAAGGACGTGGAATGAATGAAAGTGGAGGAGGAGGAGTAATATGTGCACGTGGAGAGAGAGATTAGCGAAGTATTCGGTGAGTGGGAGAATATTGACTTACCATCGGTTGACGTCTGGTCTGCTACTTTGTCTGCTTCCACATTGGTGTCCCCGTCTTTCGAAGATTCTTTGTCATCAGCTGTCAGTATAGAATTCCAATGGATTTCAATGAGTACGTGTATGTTTGAAGATTTTAGCTTACATTCATTCTCACTTTATGCACCTGTTTCTTGTATGGATGATTGTTGATACAGTGGGTTCAGTGAGTGTTATTTTGTCGAGTAGTTATTTCGTTCCCCTTGATAACCAATTGCATTGCATTGCATTGCATGTGTTTGTTTGTTTGCATAAGGGATTATGAAGATTCACGTGATGACTACACTTAGTCGACGGAAGTGTGGAATGCAATGCAAATTTTGTTGAATGTCTCAGTAGTAGTTATATTGTGTTGTTTTGCTAGTGAGCTTCGATTTCACAAGAGGTGTTGATCGACATACAGACATACTACTGTCTTACGACTGAATTTCATGTATGCAGGTGAACCGCGAAGGTGACTGATTCCTTAAGGTTAATACAGAGACAGAGATGGAGACAGATAGAGGCCTTGTTGACGAGTGGCTATGTGATGTGTTCATGTGTAGAGACTTGGAGAGGACGAGGTGAATGCGAGAAAGTCGACTTACGATTAGATTTCTTCTCTACGCTTTGTGTTGCTGTGGTCTCCGTCGCGGTGACTGTCACTAGAGAAGTGAAGCGGAAAGAAAGGACGTGGAATGAATGAAAGTGGAGGAGGAGGAGGAGTAATATGTGCACGTGGAGAGAGAGATTAGCGAAGTATTCGGTGAGTGGGAGAATATTGACTTACCATCGGTTGACGTCTGGTCTGCTACTTTGACTGCTTCCACATTGGTGTCCCCGTCTTTCGAAGATTCTTTGTCATCAGCTGTCAGTATAGAATTCCAATGGATTTCAATGAGTACGTGTATGTTTGAAGATTTTAGCTTACATTCATTCTCACTTTATGCACCTGTTTCTTGTATGGATGATTGTTGATACAGTGGGTTCAGTGAGTGTTATTTTGTCGAGTAGTTATTTCGTTCCCCTTGATAACCAATTGCATTGCATTGCATTGCATGTGTTTGTTTGTTTGTTTGTTTGCATAAGGGATTATGAAGATTCACGTGATGACTACACTTAGTCGACGGAAGCGTGGAATGCAATGCAAATTTTGTTGAATGTCTCAGTAGTAGTTATATTGTGTTGTTTTGCTAGTGAGCTTCGATTTCACAAGAGGTGTTGATCGACATACAGACATACTACTGTCTTACGACTGAATTTCATGTATGCAGGTGAACCGCGAAGGTGACTGATTCCTTAAGGTTAATACAGAGACAGAGATGGAGACAGATAGAGGCCTTGTTGACGAGTGGCTATGTGATGTGTTCATGTGTAGAGACTTGGAGAGGACGAGGTGAATGCGAGAAAGTCGACTTACGATTAGATTTCTTCTCTACGCTTTGTGTTGCTGTGGTCTCCGTCGCGGTGACTGTCACTAGAGAAGTGAAGCGGAAAGAAAGGACGTGGAATGAATGAAAGTGGAGGAGGAGGAGTAATATGTGCACGTGGAGAGAGAGATTAGCGAAGTATTCGGTGAGTGGGAGAATATTGACTTACCATCGGTTGACGTCTGGTCTGCTACTTTGACTGCTTCCACATTGGTGTCCCCGTCTTTCGAAGATTCTTTGTCATCAGCTGTCAGTATAGAATTCCAATGGATTTCAATGAGTACGTGTATGTTTGAAGATTTTAGCTTACATTCATTCTCACTTTATGCACCTGTTTCTTGTATGGATGATTGTTGATACAGTGGGTTCAGTGAGTGTTATTTTGTCGAGTAGTTATTTCGTTCCCCTTGATAACCAATTGCATTGCATTGCATTGCATGTGTTTGTTTGTTTGTTTGTTTGCATAAGGGATTATGAAGATTCACGTGATGACTACACTTAGTCGACGGAAGCGTGGAATGCAATGCAAATTTTGTTGAATGTCTCAGTAGTAGTTATATTGTGTTGTTTTGCTAGTGAGCTTCGATTTCACAAGAGGTGTTGATCGACATACAGACATACTACTGTCTTACGGCTGAATTTCATGTATGCAGGTGAACCGCGAAGGTGACTGATTCCTTAAGGTTAATACAGAGACAGAGATGGAGACAGATAGAGGCCTTGTTGACGAGTGGCTATGTGATGTGTTCATGTGTAGAGACTTGGAGAGGACGAGGTGAATGCGAGAAAGTCGACTTACGATTAGATTTCTTCTCTACGCTTTGTGTTGCTGTGGTCTCCGTCGCGGTGACTGTCACTAGAGAAGTGAAGCGGAAAGAAAGGACGTGGAATGAATGAAAGTGGAGGAGGAGGAGGAGTAATATGTGCACGTGGAGAGAGAGATTAGCGAAGTATTCGGTGAGTGGGAGAATATTGACTTACCATCGGTTGACGTCTGGTCTGCTACTTTGTCTGCTTCTACCTTGGTGTCCCCGACTTTCGAAGATTCTTTGTCATCAGCTGTCAGTATAGAATTCCAATGGATTTCAATGAGTACGTGTATGTTTGAAGATTTTAGCTTACATTCATTCTCACTTTATGCACCTGTTTCTTGTATGGATGATTGTTGATACAGTGGGTTCAGTGAGTGTTATTTTGTCGAGTAGTTATTTCGTTCCCCTTGATAACCAATTGCATTGCATTGCATTGCATGTGTTTGTTTGTTTGTTTGTTTGCATAAGGGATTATGAAGATTCACGTGATGACTACACTTAGTCGACGGAAGCGTGGAATGCAATGCAAATTTTGTTGAATGTCTCAGTAGTAGTTATATTGTGTTGTTTTGCTAGGGAGCTTCGATTTCACAAGAGGTGTTGATCGACATACAGACATACTACTGTCTTACGACTGAATTTCATGTATGCAGGTGAACCGCGAAGGTGACTGATTCCTTAAGGTTAATACAGAGACAGAGATGGAGACAGATAGAGGCCTTGTTGACGAGTGGCTATGTGATGTGTTCATGTGTAGAGACTTGGAGAGGACGAGGTGAATGCGAGAAAGTCGACTTACGATTAGATTTCTTCTCTACGCTTTGTGTTGCTGTGGTCTCCGTCGCGGTGACTGTCACTAGAGAAGTGAAGCGGAAAGAAAGGACGTGGAATGAATGAAAGTGGAGGAGGAGGAGGAGTAATATGTGCACGTGGAGAGAGAGATTAGCGAAGTATTCGGTGAGTGGGAGAATATTGACTTACCATCGGTTGACGTCTGGTCTGCTACTTTGTCTGCGTTTCCCTTGGTGTCCTCGACTTGAGAAGATTCTTTGTCATCAGCTGTCAGTATAGAATTCCAATGGATTTCAATGAGTACGTGTATGTTTGAAGATTTTAGCTTACATTCATTCTCACTTTATGCACCTGTTTCTTGTATGGATGATTGTTGATACAGTGGGTTCAGTGAGTGTTATTTTGTCGAGTAGTTATTTCGTTCCCCTTGATAACCAATTGCATTGCATTGCATTGCATGTGTTTGTTTGTTTGTTTGTTTGCATAAGGGATTATGAAGATTCACGTGATGACTACACTTAGTCGACGGAAGCGTGGAATGCAATGCAAATTTTGTTGAATGTCTCAGTAGTAGTTATATTGTGTTGTTTTGCTAGTGAGCTTCGATTTCACAAGAGGTGTTGATCGACATACAGACATACTACTGTCTTACGACTGAATTTCATGTATGCAGGTGAACCGCGAAGGTGACTGATTCCTTAAGGTTAACAGATACAGAGACAGAGATGGAGACAGATAGAGGCCTTGTTGACGAGTGGCTATGTGATGTGTTCATGTGTAGAGACTTGGAGAGGACGAGGTGAATGCGAGAAAGTCGACTTACGATTAGATTTCTTCTCTACGCTTTGTGTTGCTGTGGTCTCCGTCGCGGTGACTGTCACTAGAGAAGTGAAGCGGAAAGAAAGGACGTGGAATGAATGAAAGTGGAGGAGGAGGAGGAGTAATATGTGCACGTGGAGAGAGAGATTAGCGAAGTATTCGGTGAGTGGGAGAATATTGACTTACCATCGGTTGACGTCTGGTCTGCTACTTTGACTGCTTCCACATTGGTGTCCCCGTCTTTGGAAGATTCTTTGTCATCAGCTGTCAGTATAGAATTCCAATGGATTTCAATGAGTACGTGTATGTTTGAAGATTTTAGCTTACATTCATTCTCACTTTATGCACCTGTTTCTTGTATGGATGATTGTTGATACAGTGGGTTCAGTGAGTGTTATTTCGTTGAGTGAGTGTTATTTCGTTCCCCTTGATAACCAATTGCATTGCATTGCATTGCATGTGTTTGTTTGTTTGTTTGTTTGCATAAGGGATTATGAAGATTCACGTGATGACTACACTTAGTCGACGGAAGCGTGGAATGCAATGCAAATTTTGTTGAATGTCTCAGTAGTAGTTATATTGTGTTGTTTTGCTAGTGAGCTCCGATTTCACAAGAGGTGTTGATCGACATACAGACATACTACTGTCTTACGACTGAATTTCATGTATGCAGGTGAACCGCGAAGGTGACTGATTCCTTAAGGTTAATACAGAGACAGAGATGGAGACAGATAGAGGCCTTGTTGACGAGTGGCTATGTGATGTGTTCATGTGTAGAGACTTGGAGAGGACGAGGTGAATGCGAGAAAGTCGACTTACGATTAGATTTCTTCTCTACGCTTTGTGTTGCTGTGGTCTCCGTCGCGGTGACTGTCACTAGAGAAGTGAAGCGGAAAGAAAGGACGTGGAATGAATGAAAGTGGAGGAGGAGGAGGAGTAATATGTGCACGTGGAGAGAGAGATTAGCGAAGTATTCGGTGAGTGGGAGAATATTGACTTACCATCGGTTGA